CTCTCCAGAGCACCCCGGCCCCAGTCTCATGCGCACCACCCCTTTAATTAAAGCTCGGCTGCTGCTGCTTTCCGTGGCATTTCTGTGCCGGAGCCAAACAGCCAACCATCTGTCACCTTATTACCAGCCGTGATCTCCGGTATTAATATTTTTTTTTCTAACGGGGGGGGGGGGGGGGGGGGGGGGAGAGTTGTCATATTCACCACAGAGAACAGTTGAATCACGAGCACAAAGCTGTTTTCTGAGGTTCGCCCTCTTCCTCCTCCTCCTCACCACAGAAGAAGAGAAGAAGAGAAGAGATTGGACACCCAAAGGTGTCTCAGAGTGGCTTACAGACTCCTTTCCCTTCCCCTCCCCACAACAGACACCCTGTGAGGCGGGCAGGGCTGAGAGAGCTCTTGACAGACACGGCTCTTTTTCAAGAACAGCTCTTATCAGAACTACAACTTGCCCAAGGTCCTCCAGCAGCTGCATGTGGAGGAGTGGGGAATCAGACCCGGTTCTCCCAGATTAGAGTCCCCGCACTTAACCACTACACCAAACTGGCTCTCACTGACATTGGGACAAAGTGTCCAGACTGTTAGGGTTAGCCTGTCTCCGCCAAAAAAACCCAGCCTCTGAGTTCAAATCACTCCGTGCCAGGTGGCTGGCTTCCTCTCCTTCACACTTCCGAAGAACGTTAGAAGAGTCCTGCTGGATCAGACCACGCATCCCTCCGATACAGCGTCCTGCTCCCTCCCGAGGCCTAAGCCTAAGTTCAAAGGTAGACTTCCTCTAAGCAGGAAGGCTCCATTTGGCCATCGTGATTTACAACTACCCCATGAATTTTGAAAGGCATCTAAGGGGAGGGGCTGTGGCTCAGTGGAAGAGCCTGTGCTTGGTACTCAGAAGGTCCCGGGTTCTACCCTCGGCGACTCCAGTTAAAGGATTTGGTAGTAGGTGAGGTGAAAGACCTTCTCTGCCTGACACCTTGGGGGGCAGCTGCCAGTCTGAGTAGACAATACTGACTCGGAAGCTAAGCAGGGTTGGCCTTGGCTAGTATTTGGATGGGCAACCTCCAAGGAATACCAGGGTCGTGACGCAGAGGCAGGCGAGGGCAAACCACCTCTGAAACATCCCTTGTCTTTGTCAGCAAGCTGCCAATATGTTTCCCTGTACTCTGTGTGTGCTCTTATGGTTCACTGTGCTCTGTGTGTATTCGTCTGTGTCCTTATTCCTTGGTTATGCGCCTGTGTGCATTCACTTTCCCATGTATGCCTGTTTATACGCTTAATTGCCTAGTTGCAGGAACGTCCGTATCTCTCAAGGCCACAGGTGGTTGCTGGCGGGTAGTAGCTTGGGTGATCTCATGGCTTTATCCATGAGAAGCAGTATGTTATGATTAAGTAGGAGCGTTGCTTCCCAGGCTCAATAGCGTGCGCGTGGGAAGTCCCGCAATTGGGCCTCAGCTTTTTGAATTAACTATAATCTATTGGGATCCATGCTTATGCCTCATTCTGAACAGTGATCCTGTTATGCACCTATTGCTTCAAATAAAAGTAAAACCTTTTCTACAAGTGTGTGCTTCGTTGATGCGATGGGAGTCTGACAGTCTTAAAAAACAAGTCTAGGGCTGAGGTCACACACACCAAATAATCCACTTTCCAACCAGATTTTGCCAGTTCACACAGTGAAAGTGCACTGAAAGTGGTTTGAAAGTGGATTATTTAGTGTGTGTGACTGCAGCCTAGCTCACCACCTAGTGGTGCACCACACTAAAAGAGTTAGGACTTTCGGGTGCCAGACAGTCTTAGGATCTCCTCTGGCTGCACTACACACAATGTCGTGCAATAATTAATTAATTAACTGTCTGTGATGAACCAATGGGCTGATTCAGTATAAGGTAGTTTCAGTGTGCGTAAGCCAATTCCTTCGCTGCCTCCTATAGCAGAGATTTCCAAACATTTGTTGCATGGCAAAGTACCACCTTTTCTCCCTCCTCAATCTGCCCTATCTCGGCATCAGGTATGTGTTTACGGGATGATTGTTAAAGTCGCTTCCAATGCAGAGTTTCCCAACTTCTGTGGAGGAGGCCTGTTGTATCTCTGCATAAGTGTGGGCTGGCTTGCTTCCCACCAGGAGCTCATGCAGAGACCCAGAGGGTGACCTCTGAAGGCACAGACTTTTGCCTCTTACGCACTTGGAGAGGAATTGTTTGGGGGTGTAGGAGCAAAGTGGGCCTTCCAACTTTAATTTCTTTTTGGGGGGAGAGTTTGGGAAATATTGTTCCTTTTCCCACCTGTTGCTGCTTCCCACTCCAGCTTGGCTTGTGCCGCTCTGCGGGGGTCAAAAGATGAGGGGGTGATGCGGTTGCTAGGCAACCTTGGTACCTCTGTCTCTCTCCGTAGGAGCAGAAATAGCAAGGAGAAAAGGCCGAGGGATAGTGGCGCCCTCAGCCAGGGAACACGGGAGGGGGGCCCCCACTAAGTTTCAAAACCAATGAACCAGTTGTCCAAATCAGACCCCACTAGAACTTTCTCCTGTCTGAAGTTCAGGTAATAAAGAAGGATTCGGTCGAGCTTAAATTGGATGAGTCAAATCCGGCTTCTGAATTCCTCACCTGCAGCCTGCCCCCCCCCCCCCAGCGCTTTTGAAGGATGCCGTACAATCTGCCAAAATTAGATCTTTCAACATGAAATCCTCTTTTCTCTCCCCCGCCCTTTCCCCCACGTCCTTTCTTCTTCCACGTACATCCTCCAGGAGTGATGTGTGAGCTGCAGAACCGAGTCCCGCAAAATGACAGCGACCTGAAGAGAGGGTGGCTGAGCGACTCGGGTCTCTCCTCCTCTGATTTATTGTCATTTTTAAAAAAACTAGCTGCATTTTATCGCTCTGCCGATGCAAAATATTCCATAAGGATGGCAGGGGGTGGGTGGGTGTTACGGCCCATTTAAGCAGCACTGTTTTACCCGGACTGGCGAACAATGCTCCCTCTAAGCTGTGGAGTCCTGTGAGCAAAAATTCTGCTTTGTGAGCTACTGGCATGAAAGTTGTGAGTGAGCGATTTGGCTACTGCTTAAATTAGTTTGCTTTGGAGCCACCCTCCCTGAGCGAAGGCCAAGGGGGTGTGAGCCAGAGGCTAAAAAACTGCGAGCTAGCTCACACTAACTCATCTTAGAGGGAAGACTGCTCCCGTCCCTCCTCTGGAGTAAAGAAGGTCAGTGTTTGAATATTGCCTTCTACACCGTGGTCATTCTGTTGTAGTAATAACCTCCAGGTGGCGACTGGAGATCTTCTGGGGTTACAACTGATTTCCAGGCGACAGAAATCAGTTCACATGGAGAAAACGGCCACCTTGGCGGGTGGACTCTCTGGTATTATACCCTAATGTTTCATGGACCGACTCTGGGTTCCTTCTGAAGTTCTCCAGTCCCCCATTCTGCAACAGGAATGCCACACGGGCCGGTTTCAAAGGCCACCCAGTTGCCCGGGATGTTCGTGTGCCCCACCGTTCCTGTTAACTGGGGGAGGGCTCCTCTCTTTTCAGACTGCAAAGGGATCATTGAAGACGTGGTCTTGCTGGGGGCACCTGTGGAAGGAGACGCCAAGTCCTGGAAGCCATTCACCAAGGTCGTTGCGGGCAAAATCATCAATGGCTACTGCAGGTCTGTGCCCTCATGCCGGTCCAGAACGCCTGGGGGAACCCCAAAACTGGAGGCTTGTTTTTTCCTCTTAGGCAGTTATGGGTCTCAACCCCCCAACCCCCTCCTCAGCCTGGCCTCATTGATGGCAATTAGAAGTGGGATGATGGGTCTGTCTCTAGCACGGTGCCACCTGGCGATCTCAGGATTTATTTATTAGCCAAGGGAGAATCCTTCGTGTTTCCTCTCTTACCCACCTGAGATTTGTCTCAAGTAGCATCAGAAAGACACACAAAGTATTGGGGGAGGGCTCCTCTCTTTTCTGCTCTGCTCTCCGGCCTGCATGTCTCTTGGCCACATGATGAGGTTGCAGCTTCCGCACTGCTTCTGAACTAACCCTGGTTTTAAAATGGTTCGTTTAAAGGGTTTCGCAGGATGGTCCAAGTCAGCCCTAGGAACAGTAGTTTCAGAAAATTCCTGGAGAATAGGGCTACAAATACCAGTGAAGTTAGCAGTGGAACCTCCATATGCACAGGCAGTGTACCTCTGAATACCAGATGCTGGTGAGAGAGGATGGGGAAAGACCCCAAACAGCTGCAGAGGATTGCTGGATTAGATGGATCTTTGAGCTCTTCTAATGTTCTCATTGACTGTGATAGTTTGGAATTGATCCTCCAAGTACCTGCATGAGGTTTTGGCTCTCGGTAGCTCATATCCCCAACATTTTGTTGGGCTGTGACGCAGTGTTCCCTCTAAGCTGAGTTAGTGTGAGCTAAGTTCACAGTTTTTTAGCCTCTGGCTCACACATTTTTGTCCTAGCTCCTGAAGGAGGGCTCCAGAGCAAACTAATTTATGCAGTAGCCAAATCGCTCACTCACAGCTTTAATGCCAGTAGCTCACAGAGTAGAATTTTTGCTCACAAGGCTCCACAGCTTAGAAGGGAGCATTGGCTGCAAGGTGCTAGTGGACTCGAACTCAGCTCTTTTACTGCAGAGCAACACAGCTACTCTCTGTCTCCCATTTGCAATATCCGAGATGTCAGGGACAAGCGATAAGGAGAGCTGTCTCCCGCGGGCCCCGCTGGCAAACTTCCCAGGGCTGCGCCTTTCGTGGGCTGGGACGGACCTCCAGTTACACTCTTTGGTCATCTTTCTCGAGTGGTGCCCTTAGTGTTCTTGCATTCCCTTTCTCCCAGAGGGGACTGGCTGCTGAGTTTTGTCTACCGGACATCTTCCGTTCAGCTCAGTGTTGCAGGGCTTCAGCCAGTGACCCTGGACGACAGGAGGATGGTGAACGTGGATCTCTCCTCCGTGGTAAGTGTCAAAGAGGTACTTCGGCTCTGGCTTCCCCCTTCCCTTGATTCCCCACTCCTCCTCCGCCTTCAGCTGCTGGGTGACCTTAGGTCAGTCACAAGTTCTCTCAGAGCTGTTCTCTCAAGGGCAGTCCTCGAAAAGAGCTCTCTCAGCCCCGCCTACCTCACAGGGGTGTCTGTTGTGGGGAGGGGAGGGGAAAGGAGATTGGAAGCCATTCTGAGACTTCGAGTGAAGGGCAGGGGATAAATCCAATCTCCTCCTCCTCCTCCTCTTCTTCTTCCTCTTCTTCTTCTTCTTCTTCTACCTCCCCTCTACACAACCCCAGTGACTGCTTTTCCACACCCAGAAGATGGCAAAAAACTCTCCAGGAACCCCGGCCAAACTGGCCTGGAGAAAAATGTCTTCCTGGCCCCCAAGTGGCGATTGGCATTTCCCTGGGCATGTCAGAAAGGGCCACGAGAACTAAGCACTGAGGCAACCCTCCCTGCCCTCCCTCTCACGGTCTGCCCAAATTCACACAATCAGCACGGGCTGTCCACCACCTCCCGAGGAATCCTTGCCGGGTGAATGAGTGGCTTCTTGCTTTGAAAACAATGTTTAGTTTGGCCCAGAGATCCTTCGGCCTGGAGAGGCTGGGGTTCGAACAGGGAACATTCTGCGTTGTACACCTGGCCAGGGTGAGGGCCCCGCTTGGTTCCCTCGTGAGGTCCCCTTCCCTAGCCGAGGGCGTTCTGGAATCAAGCCCTGTCTGCTGTCAGGAGGAAATAAGGAATCGCCTCTTAATTGGTGCCTTCAGCCTGCTGAGCGGGCCTTCTGTTCCACGGAGGGGCTTCCCTTCTCCCTCCCCTTCTCCTGGCAAAGAGCTTTCCTGCTGCTGTTGGGGCCTCCTGGATGGGCTCCAGGTGACTTCCGTGAGGAGCTCCTCCAGCGAATCCAGGCGGCCTCTTGAGTCTCTCGATGCAGAATCTACGGGGCTTTGTCACAGAGCCGGGCACCCTTTACAAACAGCTTGCCGGGACTCTTCCATCCCCAGTCATTTGACAGTTGCAGATCCGGAGGAGGGGTTTAGCAGAATGCCAGGTTTCCCCTGCTGCACTGATACCGCTGATGGCAGGCGAGGCTTCTCAATTTCCAGGAAGGACAGCCAGAGGCCGGTGGGATTTCTTGAGAGCCAGTTTGGTGTCGGGGTTAAGTGCGCGGACTCTACTCTGGGAGAACTACCCGACGGAGTCTCAAAATGGTTTACAAACTCCTTTCCCTTCCCCTCCCCACTAACAGACACCCGGTGAGGCGGGTGGGGCTGAGAGAGCTCTGACAGAAACTGCACTTTCAAGGACAGCTCTTGTCAGAACTGTGGTTTGCCCAAGATCATCCAGCCAGGTGCAAGTGGAGGAGGAGTGGGGAATCAAACCCGGTTCTCCCAGATTAGAGTCCGCGCACTTAACCACAACACCAACACTGGCTTTTAAGAAGAGAAGAGATTGGATTTATACCCCGCCCTTCACCACCCAAAGGAGTCTCAGAGCGGCGTACAAACTCCTTCCCCTTCCCCTCCCCACAACAGAAACTGCTCTTTTCCAAGAACAGCTCTTATCAGAACTATGGCTTGCCCAAGGTCATCCAGCCAGGTGCAAGTGGAGGAGTGGGGAATCAAACACGGTTCTCCCAGATTAGCGTCCGCGCACTTAACCACGACACCAACACTGGCTCTGGAGAGGGAGAAAGAAATGCTTCAAATCATGGAACTCCAAGAGGTGATGGAAGGGAGGGGGCAGCGTTCTGCCCCCCCCCCGCATTCACACACAGGCTCTGCTTGGAATAAAAGATGCATCCCACCCTTGGCTTGGCACCGTGGATGGGGAGAAGCTGAGCCAGCTCTGCTTCACCACTTCTCCCTCTGAGTTCTGAAAAAGAAAACAGCCTTTCTGGCTGCATCTCTATGGCTGAGGAGGACTGGAAGCAGAGCGGGTGGACTGGGGGGGGGTCCTCCAGGACCAGGAAAATGGCAGTTCACTTGCATCCTAGTTGTAAAGCCAGTGCTGTGCAGTATTCAGGCCAGGGTAAGGGAGAGCCGGGATCGAATCTCTGCCGTGAAGCTCGGTGGAGTGGCTTTGGGCCAGTCGCTCTCTCGCAGGGTTGTTGTGTGGTAAAAGGGGCGGGGGACACGTAGGCTGCCCCGAGGTCCCTGAAGCAATGGTGCGATAAATATGAAACGGGTTGGTTCAGACTCCCTTTTGCCCCTCCTGCTGCAAGGACCTCTGAATGCCCCGTTTCCACAGTCAGTGGAACTGAGGGGTAAAGTTTCTCCTGGGCTGTTCCACTTTAAATTAAGGGGGAGGTCTGCTGCAACAATTTGGATCAACAAGGGAAGAAGATAATGAGGAAGAAGACTGTAAAAGAGGAAGAGAAGATGAGACAACAAGTACACTTACTGATGAGGACTGGACTCTAAGATAGGGGGTGGTCCCCCCCCCCCCAAATAAATTTGATTGTCACTTGGGGAACAAAAAGTTAAAAAAAATAAATGAGATGCTAATATTTTCTGAAGCCTGCCTTAGTGGGGTTTTTTCCTCTATGATCTTGTATAGCTCTTCATATAGTCAGATTTGTTGGAATTGATAATATAAGCAAGAAATTATTATTGACCACTCTCAACGCCCAAAAAAAACAAGAAAGAAAAATGTAATGGTTAAAAAAAATGCTGTTGTATTTCAAGTAATGTATGATCTCCATCTCTTGGGTTTTTAGTGGTTTTCTTTACTTTCTCCTGTAGTTTGTAGACTCCCCTCCCTTGTTTCTTTGTAGTTTATAGAAAATGCAATTAAAAAATCCCGTACGGGGGGCTAAAAAAAAATTAAGGGGGAGGGGAGTTGGGTAAGAAAATGTTCTTGCTGAGGTGCAATTAGGGTTTTTTCCCCCCTCCCAGAGCTGCTGAGAGCCACCGTATGCACAGAGTCCATCCCACATTCACGCAGAATTTGCTTGAACTTAATTTTTCCCCCTTTATTTATATCCCACCTTTTCCCCCAATGGGGACCCGAAATTGCTTACATCCTCTTATTCCCCTGTTTTATCCTCACAACAGCCCTGTGAGGTAAGGCTGAGAGTGGTTGACGGGCCCAAAGTTACCCAGCAAGCTTCCATGGCAGAGGGGGGGATTCGAACCAGATCCCCAGCCCAACACTCTAACCCACTGCACCACACTGGAATAAGGAAGATGCTGAGGCCATTATCATTGTTTTGCTGGCTAGATCCCTTGCCAGTTCTTCTCTTGAGAGGTCACACTGCCTCTTTAAAATCCAGAGTGCACTGGGTCCTCCGCTCTGTCCCCAAATACACACACACACACACACACACACACACACACAATTGCTCGCTCAATGCGCTTCAGAGATCAACGCAGACGTCTGAAGAGTTGGCCCCCGAAGGCCTCCCTGACAGGTTCCTTTTAATTAAAGTTCTAATCTCTTCCAAATCGGAGAAACCAGCCGGGCCATCTGGGATCCTGCCAGCCGCAGATGGTCTTCCCAAGTCACAGATCGGGTGTCATGCCAAGTTCTGAGCGCCTCCAAATGTCAACCAGTTCCCGTGATTCTTTGGGGTTGGCGTATGACTTTCTCGCCACACCACCTCAGCTTGCGGGCTGGGACCGGTCCAGATTTCTTGGTGTTCATCTTTAAGATGTCCTTCAAAGGCCCTTGGAGCCACAGGGTTGAGTTTGGGGGGCAGACCTGGCCAGAAACAAGGGAGTGAGAAACAGAGCCTCCATGTTCAGAGGCAATCTATCTCTAAATGAGGGGAGGGGGGCAAAAAAGTGGGGGGATTGGCCGTGGCCTTCACGCCTTGCTTGTGGGCTTCCCGGAGGCAGCTGATGGAAATAGGATGCTGGAATGAATGGCACATTGTAACATGGGTGCAAAAGGGCCATCAGATGACACTCGAATTGCATTCCCTGAAGTTGAAGCACTAGTAGAAATCTGAGCTTCCGCAAACGCCCTAAAGCAATTTTCCCACTCTCCTGGAGTTTGCAAAAAGGTTAATGAGCAGTCGCTTTAATTTACAAACAGGTGGTAATGAAGGGGAGGGGTCTCTCTCTCCAGGACTGATTCTCTTTTGCAAACCTCTGGCAGCACCTTTTGAAAACATTAGCCTTGATAATAACTAGGCTTGGCTTGATGTTTCTAATATCTGAGGAGGAACCAGCTGGCGATCTTGTTCGGAGTCTTTTCTGCTCACAGGTGCATCTCCAGGTTTAGCTGGGAGCTGAACAGGAACGGCGTTGTTATGGGTTCTTATTTCACAACCACACAATCTCCCTTTTTTCCCCTTCTTCTTGTACGAACCTTGACGGCAGCTGTTTCAGCATGTGCATATGCATGAGTGTGTGCGTTTAGAAAAAGAGAGAAAGGGAGAGAGAGAGAGAGACAGCAGCGCCAGCCGAGCTCTCTAGAAGAAACCCCCCAGGCTGTGTTTTAATTTCAGAGGCTTTGCAGAAAACTCGGTCAGACATGGACAAACGGCGCTACTTTCAAAAGAGGGTTCCATAAAACAGTCTCCTCTATTTGAACTGTTGTTTTGTGCGTGTGCCCGCATGTACATGCACTGTCCCTCCTCCTCTCTCTGTCACATATACACCCCTGCCACTCATCTGTTGAACTGGGATGCGTGTGTCTCCTCTCCAGTCTATCCAGAAAGTGGCAGAAATTCCTGGGATCCCAGAATTTGAATCCCAGAATTTGTTTTGAAAGCACTCTGTACAGGATTGGCCAGCTCACTAGATCGGGAGGGGCAAAAATTCAAGCAGTTCTGGCACAGGTGTTCAAGAAGAGGAAGAAGAGATTGGATTTAAACCCCACCCTTCACTACCTGAAGTAGTCTCAGAGCGGCTTACAATCTCCTTTCCCTTCCTCTCCCCACAACAGACACCCTGTGAGCAATGTTCCCTCTAAGCTGAGTTAGTGTGAGCTAGCCCACAGTTTTTTAGCCTCCAGCTCACACATTTTTGTCTTAGCTCAGGAAGGAGGGCTCCAGAGTAAAGTAATTTATGCAACAGCCAAATCGCTCACTCACAACTTTAATGCCAGTAGCTCATAAAGTAGAATTTTTGCTCACAAGACTCCACAGCTTCCAGGGAGCATTGCCCATGAGGTAGCTGGGGCTGAGAGAGCTCTTTTGAGGACTGCCTGTGAGAGAACAGCTCTGAGAGAACTTGTGACTGACCCAAGGTCTCACCAGCAGCTGCATGTGGAGGAGTGGGGAACGAAACCCAGTTCTCCCAGGTTAGAGTCTGCACTCCTAACCACTACCCCAAACTGGCTCTCAATAATCACAGGCGTCTCTAGCTGAATATGGGTTTCAGATAGCCAGTATTGGGAGAGGTCTTTCTCTCTGGACTTCTTTGCCGTCTTGACGCTCCCCATCTTGACAGAGCTTTCTGGCTCTTTTCACAGGTGAGCGGCCACTTGGACTACATGAAGCAGATGGACACGATCCTGAAGGCTGTGGGTGTCAAAACCAAGCAGTGCCGTCTGGAGGAAGGGGGGACCCTTGCCGTTCTCTCGAATAAGACCGCGGAAAGTCAGGCAGTTGCCCTGCACGACGATGCACCAGCGGAGCCAAGCATGAGGCAGGAAGAGGATGAAGATACGGTCCACATTGCCCCCTGGTCGTGGGAGCCAGTTCCCTCTCAGGAATTATGCCCAGGGGACTCAGCACAGGGGCTGGGTTCTGAACTGAGAGAAAACTCGCAAGCCCAGGAGCAGCAGAACCGGCCCGGTCAAGAAGAACCTTTCACCACTGATGCTTCAGACTCCTCTCATCATTCTCAAACAACTGATCACGCCACCTGTGCCATTGATCCTCTTTCCCCATCGTCCAGATAACAGAAGATGCAGCACAGCATGATGGTAACTGTAGTATTGTCGGGGACTGCTCCAAGCTTCCCCACATTGCTGCTGTGGTGTGGAAAACCTGGATGCTTTGCACAGGACAGCAAATTTCTGTCCAGGATCGGGACAGCTGTTTCGTGTGGCCTTCCACCTCCCAGCAGTTTGCTGGTTCTGGGAAGTGGATCAAGCAGGCCATGATGTGGCCAGGAAGTCTCCTGCACCTGAACTCCACAGTCCATGGATTTATCCAACCCTTTAAAAAGTAATTTAAGGTCCCTGCCACATGGCAGGGGAAAAAACGGGCAAAGTGCGGCTTTTAAAAGCCGCACCAAAATAGACGCCGCAGCGGGATCCCACGGATCCCCTGAGCCGTGGCGCCGTTGCTCCCCGGCACGATCATATGCCAGGGAGGAAGCGACAGTCGGGAGGGGGAGGCTGCCGAACTGTGCATGTCTGAGCATGCGCAGTTCGGCCAGGAGCCGGGGATGCGCCGGTGGAAGGACGCGCTGGTGATCCCATGGCCGGCCTTGATGCGCCCTTTCCCGAAGAACCACCTAGGTAGGTGGTTCATTTTTGATGCGGGGTTTTGGGTGGAAGGGCCAGATCGGGAACGGGCGCGCCACACTTCCCAGATGTTGCTGTGGGACCACGCCCGTTTGCTGTGCCCCCGATCCATCCCTCTCCCGGCCCAAAACCTCTCGTGTGACCGGGGCCTAAGACTACTGGTTTTTGCCATAGCTTGTGGCAGGGCATTCCGTAAGTTAATTCCACACTCTGCAACAAAATGCTCCCTTTTGTCAGTGCTGAAACTACTGTTAATCTGCTTCACTGGGTGCCTGAGTTAATACTCTCTGTTAATACTATGAGGGGGAGGGGGGAGAGAGAGAGAGAGAGAGAGGGGTTGTCTTGTCTTCTCATCTGACCTCATAGAATCATAGAGTTGGAAGGGACCTCCGGGGCCATTTAGTCCAACCCCCTGCACAATGCAGGAAATCCACAAATACCTCCCCACCACCACATACCCCCAGTGATCCATGTCCGGAAGATAACAAAAAACTTCCAGCATCCCTGGTCAAAGTGGCCTGGAGAAAAATGGCTTCCTGACCCCCTAAGTGGCGATCAGCATTTCCCTGGGCGTGTCAGAAAGGCCCACGAGAACTGAGCCCTGAGGCAACCCTTCCTGCCCTCCCTCTCACGATCTTCCTGAGTTCACAGAATCCGCAGTGCTGTCAGATGGCCATCTAGCCTCTGCTTCAAAACCTCCAGAGAAGGAGGAGGAGGTTTTCCTACCTAATAGCTGGTGGCTATCACCACATCTTGTGGCAATGAGTTCCCACAGTTTGAAGTTCAGGGCAGCTTTAGAAGACGCTGTTTATGTTGGAGAAAAAAAGAGAGCGTATGCACTGGAGACTGAAGAAGGTCTGGGTGAAAAAGAAAATCTATTTATTTCCAAATGGCTGAGAGGGAACAGTGGAGGCCGGGCACCCAGCACCAGGAGGGGTGGGGCTGTCTCAGGCCCCAGGGTCCAGCAGACTCCAAGCACTCTGGGCTACTTCTCTCAACCCCCCCCCTTCCTGGTTTTTTTAGACAGCTAATACCAAAAACAAGGGCATGATCCCCCAAGAAATGCAGCTTTAAGTAGGACTTGCAAGGGAGGGCGTGTTTTTCCGCCCAAAGAGCTTCCTCCTGTCGGCCCTGCAGGAGGCACCTAGGAATATTCAGAAACATTCCGTAGGACTCAGAGAACAGTTAAGTTAAAGGGCCACTTGCTGACTCAGTACAGCCATGTGACTTGAAGGATGGCTCTGAAGAAAATCCTTTGACTGCTGCACACTTAACAAAAGGTCTTCCGTAACAATGCAAAACCCATTCCTATTCTCCCATGGGTCCCATTTCTCAAAGCCGCAGGGGCCCATTAGCAGTTAGCTCTTCCCACCCCCACCCCACCTGACAGATCGAGCTATGCTTCTGTTTGCTCGAATCCACTCTCCCCCCAGCCTGTGCTCAAGGAACTCCTGCATACCTTCTTTGAAAAGCGAAATGGGGAGAAAAGAGACCAGGCCGTCCAACAGAAGCGTTAAGATTACTTTTCCCTTGGAGGGAAAAAAAAGATGGGCATTCTTTCCAATGCAAATGTTGTGATGAATGTGGAAGGAACTGTGCAATACTGGCAATTATGAACATCTGCAAGAATCACACCGGGCTTCCTGTCTGGAAATAAAGCGATCAAAATGTGCGATCTAGAGTTTTGTCTTTAAATGTTAGGGGTTGATGTTAGGCAGGACGTGGGAAATTAGCAGCACTCTTTAGACCAGCTTGTGCTTTTCCTCCGGGAAGCAAGAGAGGGGGGGGGGCTTAGTTTTGCATCTGCTAGCCTCTCATGTTCCCCCCTCCCTCCATGTTTGGTGGTCAGATGTTCCTGTTTTCTGCAAATCCTACCCCACTCAGATCTATTCTTGTGGCACAATTCCCGACAGGGACAGGGACCTGAGACTCCCTCCACACACAGTCATGCACCCACCTCATCTGCTTAAACTTACGTGCCCTTACGTTCTACAGCATCTGCACGAAGGTCCACAGTCACCCCATACAGTATGAAGTAAATCTTAATTTTCTACAGCTGCTACGAACCAGTGTTCCCTCTAAGCTGAGTTAGCGTGAGCTAGCTCACAGTTCTTTAGCCTCCGGCTCACAGATTTTTGTCTCAGCTCAGGAAGGATGGCTCCAGAGCAAACTGATTTATGCAGCAGCCAAATCACTCGCTCACAACTTTTATTCCAGCGGCTCACAAGGTGGAATTTTTTCTCACAGGACTCCACAGCTTAGAAGGGAGCATTGCTACGAAGAAAGAGTTGATGCACTTGCTGATTCACAGAACAGCCTGCAGGCGTGCCTACTCTTGGAGGTGGGATTTTGAGTGTGTTAAGTACAGTCAAGTCACTTCAAACCTATGGCGACCCTCTGAATTAATGACCTCCGGAATGTCCTCTCACTAACGGCCTCGTTCAGGTCTTGCAAACTTGCAGGCCGTGGCTTCCTTTGTTGAGTCAATCCATGTCACATTGAGTCTTCCTGATTTCCAGCCCCCTTCAACTTTTCTTAGCATGATTGTCTTTTCTGGTGAGTCTTATCTTCCCATAATGTGACCAAAGTACTATAGCCTCAGTTTAGTCCGTGAGAGACCTGGGTTCGAATCACTCCCTGAGCCATGAACCCTTGGGCGGGGCTGCACGAACGCTGCAGTTCCCCCAGCATGATTAAACTTCGGTGGGTTGTGATACCCAGGCCAGATTCCCTGAGAATCCCAGCTTTCATTTTAAAAATTAGCACCTTGGAAGCACGCGAGCAGTTCCTGGTACAATGGCAGGAACCGGAGGGGGTGGCCAAGCAGGACTTCTGGGGTGAGCGATCAGCCACACCATGCCTTTCCACACAACGAGCAAAATTTGTCCTGACCTACCTCGCAAGACTGTTGTCACACTGAGCTCCTTGGAGGAAGACTGAGTTCCAAAGCGAACTAATTAATTGGAAGCTAGGAGGTGTTTCTCCTTTGGCGAGGACGGCCCACGTAACAAGGCCACAGTTACCTAAAACCCAGCGACGTCCCTGTGGCTGAGCCACGTGTCTGGCTGCAGCAAGGCGTGAAGAAAGGCCCCCGTTTTCTCTCTCCAGCAGGATCTCCAGCTCAAGGATTTCAGGCCACAGGGGTGGGGGATGTGCCCCAGACGCCGGGCAGCTGCTGCCTGTCTGAACCGGATGGACGGATGGCCTGGCTCGATGGAAGGCAGAATTGCATGTTTGTTTGTACTATGTCAGGTCTCCATCAAATGTATCAGGAGGAAGCGGAGGGTTACGAAGATGCATTGGAAGCACACACCGCAAACTGGACAGGGCCAGAAGTCAGGCAAGAAACATGTCGGCTCCTTCGTCCCACCCCGCACCCCCAGGGCTCACAGGAGCTCCCCCAAACCCACCCCAGCGACTGCTTTAAATATCCAAACATCACAGCTATCTAGCGTGTGTTCTGGCCCCAAAGGAATCCACCGTTGCGTTCCCACACGGCGACACTAACAAAATTAAGACAGCGCTCCTCACCAGAGCGTGGGTGTTTCTTTTCTTTCCCCCGAAAGATCAATTACAAATGGGAGATATCGAAGAGAGAAAATAAACAGGGAGGTGGGGGATCCTGGCTGAGAAATCTCCATAAGTAACAAAAGTATGGCAGTGTCCGTGCTGGGAGCCCAAGCGGTAGCCGAGGCCGGAAGAGACGGTCATTTCCAGCCAGGGAGGGGGTAGGTTTTCCACCCTCCCATGCCCATTCCCCAGTTTTCAGGTGCAAGAGCCAAATGGCCTTGGGCTAAGCTTGATTGACAGGTGGAAGGGGGTAGTCATGTGACCAGTGTTCCCTCTAAGCTGAGTTAGTGTGAGCTAGCTCACAGTTTTTTAGCCTCTGGCTCACACCTTTTTGTCTTCGCTCAGGAAGGAGGGCTCCAGAGCAAACTAATTTATGCAGTAGCCAAATCACTCACTCACAACTTTAATGCCAGCAGCTCACAAAGTAGAATTTTTGCTCACAGGACTCCACAGCTTAGAGGGAGTGTTGCATGTGACATAGTTCCCCCACACACACGACTGAGGCATATGCACACCCCATGTGCATCCCTGGAGTCACCTCCTTGGGCAGGGTCCACAGAGTTCCTGCCCACCACCACCCCCACGGGGTTACGTTCCACCCTCGTTCCGCGCTCAGTGCACCAGAGTCTGCCCTGGCCAAAAGCTGTCTCTGGGCCCCACTCTCAGTCCATGGGCGTGTTCAGCTGGTTGACGTGGAGGTCGGGATCCCTGTGCTCCAAGTCGAAAAGGTTCACCGAGTCGGTGCCCATGGCCGGCAGGGAGCCCAGGCGCTGGCCGTTGTGTTCGTGGACCTGGGTGATGGAGTCGGCGGAGTCCGTGTCCCCCTGCAAGGTCAGGACGTTCTTGAGAGAGATGCCCGGGCGAGGGCCGCTGTTGGAGTTCCTCATGGAGAGGGAGACGGGGCTGGGCCGGCGTTCCCAGGAGCGCCGGCAGCAGGGCAGGTACTTGGCCATGGCTCGCTTGAAGTCCCTCATGAAGAGCGGGTAGATGATGGGGTTCATGGTGCTGTTGCAGTAGCCCAGCCAGGTGAGGATGTCGAAAAAGTCCGCAGAGATGCAATTGCAGACTGCCTGGAGGGAGGGAGGGAGGGAGGGAGGGAGGGAGGGAGAGACAGGAGAGGAGGAGAAGGGAAAACAGGGACTGAATTAAAGTCAGACGAGGGAGGCCCCCAACTTTTCAGCGCCAGACTTTCTGCAAGGGGGAAAACTGTCCCACTTTCTGGGCAAGGTGGGGATGGGTCCATGAAGCAGACCCAGGTTAAGCCTTCCCTTAAGCGGGGGGAGACGGTCCATCCTGAGAGATGGATTTCGGGGTCCCTCCCAAGAGCCAGTGATGGAGCATTATGGTGGAGAGGAGTGCCGTTTAGATTTCCTGATCTAAAATTCCCCTCCCAGGTGGGATTTGGTGGGGGGGGGAGGAGGAGATTGGATTTATACCCCTTGCCCTTCACTCGGAGTCTCAGAGTGGCTTCCAATCTCCTTTCCCTTCCCCTCCCCACAACAGACACCCTGTGGGGTAGGTGGGGCTGAGAGAGCTCTGAGAGAGCTGCCACTTCAAGGACAGCTCTGACAGAACTACGTCTTGCCCAAGGTCATCCAGCAGCTGCGAGTGGAGGAGTGGGGAATCAAACCCGTTTCTCCCAGATTAGAGTCTGCACTCCTAACCACTACACCAAACTGGCTCTTCTGCTGAAAGACTGCCATCCAGGAATTCCTGTAAGATGCTGACCAGGGCCGACCCTGCTTTGCTTTCAGATTGAAGGAGATCAGGTGAACCTGGGCTAGCAGGGCAGGCCAGGCCAATATTACCACCCCCGATATTGCAGAGGGGGGGATGGGGGTTCAAAATGTAGTCTGCCCAAGGCACTGTCTACTGGGTACATAGGGCCAAAGCCAAGATCTGAATCCATGACCTCTGGGATCACAGCTCCCTCCTTCTCTGTACCTGCCTTCCAGTGCAGCGGGGACTTACTGACTTACCTGTGCCACGTTGCAAACAAAGAAGGGGAGCCACGCCACGAAAAACATGCCCAGCAGGATGCCCAGGGTGAGGCTGGCCTTCAAGGCCCTTTTGCTGTGCTTGTTGGCAAATTTCCGGTTGTCGTTTGTGGCGGTCGGCTGGCTGTGAGCTCGGTGGACCTACAAAAGACAAGGCGGGAGAATGGGGTTCAGTGTGGCCAACTGCAAAGTGGCGCACATTGGAGCAAACAGTCCTAACTATAAGTACACGTTGATGGGGTCATCACGCCCCTGTATAAATCGATGGTGCAACCTCATTTGGAGTACTGTGTACAGTTCTGGTCACCACACCTCAAAAAGGATATTATAGCATTGGGAAAAGTGCAGAAAAGGGCAACTAGAATGATAAAAGGGTTAGAACACTTTCCCTATTAAGAAAGGTTAAGGCGCTTGAGGCTCTTTAGCTTGGAGAAATGACGGCTGAGAACATGATCGAGGTTTACAAGATTATGCATGGGATAGAGCAGGTCGAGAAAGAGCTACTTTTCTCCCTTTCTCACAATACAAGAACTCGTGGGCACTCCATGAAATTGCTGAGCGGTCGGGTTAGAATGGATAAAAGGAAGTACTTCTTCACCCAAAGAGTGATTCACACGTGGAATTCACTGCCACAGGAGGTGGTGGCGGCTACAAGCATAGACAGCTTCAAGAGGGAATTGGATAAGCATACGGAGCAGAGGTCCATCAGTGGCTCTTAGCCACAAGGTAGTGTCCTGGCCCCACTGATGCAGCAGCCAAAACTGATGGACCTCCTGATGGCACCTGGTATTTTTGGCCATTGGCCTGATCCAACATTAACTTCTCTTATGTTCTTATGCGTAAGAAAAAAAATAGGATGCCAGATCCTCCCAAACAGAGTCAAAAGGTAAACGGACATTGGGAGATCCTGCTGGTTCCGTCCCGGGGCTGATCTAGCCCGGCATTCTGTTTCCAAGCAGCCAGCTCCCGGGCCCAGGCAGCCTTCCTGAAACCTTAACCAAAGCTCCCTCTAAGCTGTGAAATCTTATGAGCAAAAATTCTACTTCATGAGCTCCTGGCATCAAAGTTCTGAACGAGCAATTTGGCTGCTGCATAAATTAGTCTGCTCTGGGGCCATCCTTCCTGAGCCAAGACAAAAATCTGTGAGCCGGAGGCTAAAAAACTGTGAGCTGGCTCACACCAACTCAGCTGAGAGGGAACACTGCTAACCCAACATGACGTACAAAGGTATACTGCCTCTGCATGCAGAGGTTCCATTAAGCTACCATGGCTAATAGCCACCAATGGACTTCTCTGTGTCTCTGTGAAAATGTGCACAGCGTGCTTGCGTGAATATGTTTAGTTTTTCTGGAGTAGGACGGCGTAAACTAGGTGTGGTTTCTTCTCAGACAAAACTTGGCTTCCTGCTACAAAAAGCGTTATTTATGGCAGAAATGGACAAAATAACAAGAAAACTGAACAACAAAGAAGATCAAGAATTTTTTGAAGATTGGAAGGACTTTAAAGACTATCTAGAGGACAGTGGCGAGCCCTTCTCGTGTCCTGGCCCCAATGATGCAGCAGCCAAAATAGCCACTGATGGACCTCTCTGTGTCTTTGTGGAAATGTGCACAGCGTGCTTGCGTGAATATGTTTAGTTTTTCTGGAGTAGGGTACAATAGGACGGTGTACACTAGGGGTGGTTTCTTCTCAGTCAAAAATTGGCTTCCTGCTTCTCTCTAAAGAGAAATCTTTGGGCTGTTTCCTGCTTTACCTGAGATTTCCCCCCCCTGTTTTAAATGTGTGCCCAGGTGACAATCCTATCTACAGATACCTGCTTTGGAGTCCTGAGTGCAAAAATTCTACTTTGTGAGCTACTGGCATTAAAGCTGTGAGCCAGTGATTGGGCTACTACATAAATTAGTTTGCTCTGGAGCCATCCTTCCTGAGCTAAGACAAAAAATGTGTGAGCCGGAGGCTAAAAAACTGTGAGCTAGCTCACACTAACTCAGCTTAGAGAGAGCACTGACCTGTGCTATTTTATTTTTAGCAATTTCATTTATACCCCACCTTTCTTTCCAACGGGGACTCAAAAGTGGCATATGTTGTTCTCACCTCTGTTTTATCCTCACAACAGCCCTGTAAGGTAACTCAGAACATGTGACTGGCCCAAGGTCACCCAGCAAGCTCCTATAGCAGAGTAGGTATTGGAACCTGAGCCTCCCAGATCCACGTCCGACCCTCTGAACACTGGCTCTATCAAGTCCCTGCTTCATAGCAAACCCAGGCTTGTTGTTATACAATGCATGAAATAGACCTTTGGAACTGAGGAAGTCACCAGCCCCACACAACTGTTTTTTTTTGGGGGGGGTGAGTTTTCCCCCTACCATCTGCAGTGATATCCAGTCACCCAATATCTAATTAATAGCTTGTGCCTTTCAGCTCAGATGTGTGGTAGGAGATTTTTATTATTGATTAGAGAGGTTTTTCTTAATTAGATTTGGGATTTTTGACAAAAATATCTTCTGCCCTGAATATTCCCGTGAACAAATCTCTGGACAGACTTGGCGGTTATCTTTCTTTTGCTCCTTCTTTCTTCTAGCAGTAAATTAAATTACAATTTCTGCATCCTGCCATAATTAAATAAACCTTGCTTTGAGGGATGGCTACTCTATCAAAAATGTGTTTTCAAAGGAGTTATAACACCGCCTCCCCAAGGTCAGCCTTGTTTCTCCATACTTGTAAATTAGAACGTTATTAATGTGGTTGTGGACACAATTAGGAGTTGGATATCTTCGTTCATTTCACAAGCAACATCGCAGTGCACCACCCCCTTCTATCACTGGAAATAGTTACTGGTCTATTTGGCACGCAACCCCCCCCCCCCCCACATTTGCTACAAGGGAATTAAAATTTGTTGCAAACATGGATGCTGCAAGCAGGAGAGCCGTGTAAACTGCGGGCGAATTAATTTGATTTATTTAAAAAGCCACGGGATTTAAATCTTTTAAATAAATAAATCATTCTGCATGTAGGGTTTGAGTCTCCTCATGGTGGAATTTCAACAGGAGTCTGGCTTACTAATTAGTTTTGTGAGCACTAACCGGCAGATTCGTCAACTAGATCTTTAGGTGATTAATGCTCTTCGATGGTGGGGGCTTCTTTTCATCAGCAGAGCTGAGAGTGACGGCCGTCTCCCCCAGTTTAATTCCAGAGACTCTTCTGAAGCAACATTGTACTCTCAAAGGGGCCTTTTCTTCTAACCCTTAAAAAAACGTACCATTTCAAACATCCAAAGCTCTCACGCTTCCTTCGGGCAGCAGCACCTCAAACAGGCACCTGTGGCGAGGTTTGAGTAATACGCAAGTGTCTTTAAATTCAATTAGCAGCCAGAGAGATAATTGAAGAATTCTGAGTCGATTCATGGGTTGAGCGCCCAAGACGGCGCTTCTGACAAGCGTCCATATTGATTTTGTGTTTGGCGCTGTCTAAGGTGCTGAAATTGCTTCGGCATTATTGCATCCAGGAGAGACTGATCGGTAAAAATAAAATGCACCTTTGTGGAAACTTAAAGACTAACAAGATTTTACTCCGACAAAAAGCTTTCATGGACTGAAGTCCACGTCTTCAGATGCGCGGCGTCAATCCTCACGAGGCAGACTATAGCCGTTGGATAAAAGGGCCGTGAAATGCAGGAAGTAAAAGGGGAGATGAAATTGAGCAGGCTTTTAAAATTTATTTTGGATTACAGTCCACCATTCTCACTGAGACCCAGGGCCAATTGCGGACAGTAAGTCAACACACGCAACAGGATGGGACATCCGATTTAAAAATCCAATAGGATTTGGACTGTAGAAGTGTGGAACCAGCCAGATATCTGGAAACAGGACTGGAGCAAAGACCCTTAAGAGTCTCTTCTCCCCTTCTCCTCTGTTTTCCCTATCCTGGGAAGCAGAAGACAGGTGACATTCATTTTCGCTCTTGGAACCACAGTGGCAGACCAGTGCTGCAGCGTTTTTAATCAGAAAATCATAAGAGCATTGCTGGATCAGACCAGTGAGGGTCCATCTAGTCCAGCCTCCCGTCTCACACAGTGGCCAGCCAGTTCCTCTGGAGGGCCAACAAACAAGGCAGAGAGGCTAGGCCTTCATTAGAACATCAGAAGAGCCCTGCTGGATCCGACCAGGGAGGGTCCATCTAGTCCAGCATTCCATGTCACACAGTGGCCAACCAGTTCCTCTGGAGGGCCAACAACAGGGCGCAGAGCCTGAGGCCTTCATAGAAGACCATCAGAAGTGCCCTGCTGGATTTGACCAGTGGTTCATCCAGTCCAGCATCCTGTCTCATAGTGGCCAACCAGTTCCTCTGGAGGGCCAACAAGCAGGGCCTGGAGGCCAAGGCCTTCCCCTGATGCTGCCTCCTGACACTGGGATGCAGATGTTGACTGCCTCTGGGTGTGGAGGTTCCCATTAATCACCGTGGCTAGTAGCCAGTGATAGACCTCCCCTCCACAAATCTGTCTAGTCCCCTTTTAAAGCTGTCTGCTCCTGTGGCCATCACCACATCCTTTGGCAGCAAACCCCACATTTTAATCACTCGCTGTGTAAAGAAATATTTCCTTTTGCCCATCCTGAATCTACTGCCCATCACCTTCACCAGCCCGTCACTGTCCACCAGTTTGGTGTAGTGGTTAAGAGTGGCAGACTCTAATCTGGAGAAATGGGTTTGATTCCCCACTCCTCCACCTGCAGCTGCTGGTGTGACCTTGGGTCGGTCAGAAGTTCTCTCAGAGCTGTTCTCTCACAAGCAGTTCCTGAAAGAGCTCTCTCACCCCTGCTTACCTCACAGGGTGTCTGCTGTGGGGAGGGGAAGTGAAAGGAGATTGGTAGCAGCTCTGAGATTCTGAGCAAAGGGCAGGGTATAGATCCAATCTCCCCCTTCTCCTCCACTTCTTCTTCTTCCTCCTCCTTCCTCCTCCTCCTCCTCTTCTTTTTCTTCCTCCTCCTCCTCCTCTTCCCCACCTCTTCTTCTTCTTCTTCCTCCTCCTCCTCTTCTTCTTTTTCTTACTCCTCCTCCTCCTCTTCCTCCACCTCTTCTTCTTCCTCCTCCTCCTCCTCTTCTTCTCCTTCTTCCTCCTCCTCTTCCTCCTCCTCCTCCTCTTT